CATAGTTATACATATATGTGCTCAATCATGAATCTTAGTGATTTTCTTTTGCTCACAAAAGGATATTCTACAGAGAGGGGAATTCCAATTATGAAATAATGTAGTCTTTGCAAAGAGAAGGAAGAGATAACAACCATTTGTTTCTCCATTTGCAAGTTCACAGTTCTACTATGGGTTTGTTACTCAACATCATGGGACTAAAAGGTGTGATAGTGTGAAGATTGATGATAATAAAAAGGGATAAGGTAGACTTAAAATCATAGGAGCGAAGTGCCTCAAGAAACCTACAAGCTCTACAAATCAATGTGACCTTAGCAAAAGATAGAACACACTGGAAGCAAAGAATTCATATAGGCATACCAACTAGTTAGAATCAAAATTTAGTTATTATTATACTTACATTAGGTTCGGTATTCATCAAGAGTCCTTTTATGCTGGGTTAGATACTTGTATTTTCATGTAGCCAGAAGTGCGAGATTTAAAGAACTGCTACTTTTAGAGAATCCCTAATTGCCTCAAAACACAAAATTATTTATTATTGAAATAAATTGGATTTGAATAGAATAGAATGGATACAAAGGATTCATAAAACTGACCCCCAGTATTTCAACTTGAGGACCAATTGATTGATTGATTGAAACTCCTATAACCATTCCAAAATGCCAAGACGATCATAAGTGCAACTTTAGAGACCTTGTTGGCTAATTAAGCCTAAGATAAATCACAGCATAACAGAGTATATCTGAATAATTCAAATAAAATAATTTTGGTACAATGATCCAAAATGGCTTGTAGGAATACACTGGGCTGTTGTTGTTGTAGTAATGATCCAAAATGGGAAGCTATCACTAGATATCTTTAAAAAAAAAAAAATCTTCTTTAATTAATTAGTTTATTTTATTTTTTTGAAAAGGTAAGGGAAGCTATTACCAGATACTGCTGAGAATAAGGCTGAATACGTACAATGGGTAGAACCAGAAAAGCTGCAAGGATAACAATGATACAGACAAATTAGGCAAACACCAGCTTATAATAGACGGAACATTAAAAACACTGTTTGTGCATAAAATAGGTAGCAAAAAAGGCAATAAATAAAGATCAAGAACAATAAAAACTACTAATAATCTAATCAAAGTAGCTCCCACTGGAGCATGTTTTATCCCAAATATATTATGAAGCCACAATCCGATTAAAAAGAAATATAAAACAAAAAAAAAAGATCATGTTTCCCACTACAAAACCTATTTCCAACATTTACACTTCAGCAGCTGCTTCAAGCCTTTCGAGGACTGGTTATCACTTATATACTGCAATTAAAATGCTCAGATTTTCCTGAAAAATTACACCTTAAGTTTCTTTCTTGCACTCAAATCGTGTGCATCTTAATTCCGTACTGAAATTTAGTACATAAAGGATGCCTCTTTAATCTAATCTAACTCACTCCACACCTGTATAGCACAGATATCAGTAGAAACATGATGAAACAAATGCTTTTTCCCCTAGGTACAAAATACAGATTTGGGATTGGTTAAGTTTCTGTTAAACTCAATTAGCGTCTCTACAAAAGTTGACTACTCCATTTCAACAGGAAAAAATGATCTATGAAAAAAGAATGCATGTTGATCACATGGTTAATGTCGAGGTTACCATTAGGCCCCATTAAGAAGGGTATATACTCACATTAAAAAGTTGTACAAGCCCACCACGTAAGAATCGATAGAACTCCAAAATACTGCTAAATGAACATGACTCTGGAGAATTGATTTGTGGGCAATGACCAGGTAATATCCATTCCAATGCAGGGACGATAACTGATTTCAGAACAAAGATACTGCAAAAAGAAACTATATCATATATCACATGGCTAATACTAAATTGTGCATCCCAAATTGAACATTTTAGAGCAGCATAAGAACTATAAGATGATGCAAAACAAAAAGATGCCATTCATCCTCATACCAGAGCATATTCAAAATGTCAGAAGCAATGCACATTGACCTAAGCGGTTCCCCACTTTGTCGAAAAATTTCATAAATGTACATATATAAAGTATATGTGAAGAACAAATATGCAATAATGAGTGACACGACAAGTGATATTCCTAGTCCAGCGGTAAGGCTGTTTTTCTTTTCTTACTTAAGAGAGATGACAGGTTTGAACCTCCTGTGCGCATTTCTTCCATGCTTCTTTTTTTCTTTAACAATTGAGCTTTAAAACAACATCAATGCAAGGCTCATTTGGTATTTAGTTGAAGATCTAATAACTAACACTTTGTAAACCAAATATCCCTGCTTTACAGGACCAACTTCCTTCCATGTAACAATTTTATAACTGCACATTTATAATTCTTAAATATAAGTCCACTGAACTATTAAGTGTTTGAGAAAGTGTTTACCTGTCATTATGCAGTGTTTAAAATATTTTCGAATATTCTAGGTTACATAAGTGTATTTAAACCTAGTATAATGTTACCACTACATAGAATCATCGAGACCTTTTAATTTCTCCCCATACCAATTGTACGTTGCAAACACTCAACTTTTCTAAGATGAAAATCTTAAAAGCATTTTGTTTAGTATTAGCATGTAGACCAATGTCGTACTTCAGTCAATCAACTAACTACACTTCAACCCCAAATTAGTTTGAGCCGGCTATATAAATAGCCTGTACCTACTCACACTATTTAGGTCCACTACAACTTAATAAAAACACATACATCAGACACCTTTTACACTGTACATCAATATATTAGCAACCCTCCTCTTTTATCCAAGCTAGGACTGGCCGTCTTTTAAGGTTCATACTTAATAGTTAGTACTTAGCTCTTTAGTCTTCCATAAAATCTTCTCATTGTGCAGAATGTAGCTCGAAACCTATCTCTTCTTTTTAAAATAGTGCTGGTGTCCGGGGAAGTTATGCTCATCTTGACTATTCCACAGAGTACCTACTCTCTGCCCAACAAGGCCTAGGCCGCAATTGGAAAGAAATCACCAAAAAAAATTTGTCTCCGCAGAGATCTGAATTGTGGTCACTTCGACCACTAGAAACCTATGATTCAACTAAAAACAGCTTGCCCAACCCAAAAACAAGTGGATGACTGCATTACATACACACACAGAGAAATAGATAGAGATAGAACCTTCCTAAGAAGATGAATCCATTCAACAGAAAACACTGACCCGTACGGATAGCAAGCTGCTTTGACCTTCAAATAAGAAACCCAAAATCAAAATTCAGATAAAACGGGTAAAAAGAGATTTGAGTAATTAATTGGAAAAGGGAACCTGAGAGAGTAGATGATGACACGGTGTAAACAGCAAGCTTCTCTTACGCCATCGACCCACAGAAGCAACGCTTGCTTTGACTTGCTTCTCATTGTGTCCGCCAATGGCTCCATGCTTTCCTTCACAAGAACCTGATTGATGATTGCAATTTGCAACCTTACTTCTCTGAAGTTGCCGTACCTACAACCAGGGGATTAAACACCAACCAAGTTGCCGTATTCAACTTTTTATTTTTTCTATTTTGAAGATATTCTCCGTGGGTATATGTTTCGATGCGCTTAGGGTTGAAACTCATAGGAATAAGCGTTTGCCTCACTCCCTCTTCAATTTATTTATTTTTTTCTCAATTTATATGAAGGCCTTTGAGGTGTGATAGTTAAATTTTACTTTTAATACAACTTTGTTGATTTATAATTATAGTAACATTTCACATATTAATTTTCAAGTTATTGTGGTTGTTGTTATGGAATTTATTTTCACTTTTCCTTCATCTCTTCTAATGGATGAATTAATAGAATCTTTACTAATACGAACAAAATGCTTTAAAATTTTTGACTAAATAGCTTTTGTAATTTGTTGTTAGTATCTCCCTTCTGCACATGTTTTGGAAGTAATAGAATTGGTATATCGAGTGTCAGTTTTTGAATTGAAGATTGGGATGTGTATCGCATCCTAATGGGAAACTTTTGGCTTAAATTTTTTATTATACTCAATTATATGGAAAGATTTGCTTTTTTGTTTTACTGTATGTCTGTTGCTATTGAATATTCCTTTTCTTTATAAAATTATACTTTTTCATAATATAATCGATGAAAAGACTAGGTATTTGACATTTGAGGATAGAAAATCTAAAATCTGACCGAGTAATTTCTCATGTTAGCCCTCATTTTTCTCACCCGAAATAAAATGAGATTGACAATGTTGTAGTTAAATTATGGTGCTCAGTACTCACTTTGAATGCTTGATTCTAAATTTAAATGGCTATTGTTTAGCTTATGTATATTTATAATTAATAAGCAAAAATAAAAATAAGACAAATTGAAATTGAAAAACAATTGCGGGGCAGGTGGACACAATGTGGTGTGGGGCGAGACGGGGCGAGTTGAAATTTTGCGGGTTAAGATAGAACCCGCACCGTCCCGCTTGCCATCCCTACGCACATTCTCTCCTTCTTTTCTTATTTTTCAAATATGTTTTGTTATTAGTTATCATTTTATGTATAATATTGTAATTACCATATTTCTAATAAGTTTTGAACTGTTTGTATATATTATAGATATTTTTAATAGATTCTTTCTTATATGTTTACACATAGTGTGCTCACTTTTTTTTGTTATATTACATAGTATACTTACTTTTTGTTATGTCTCAGATCACTATATATTTTCGTTTTGGAAACATGAATATTTTAATATTTTTAAATTGCAAAAGAGGCATCTTAAATACTCACTCTGTTTCCTTAAGCTGAAATGATCCTTTACTTTCAGTACATTATTTCTTTCTATCTCTTTGGTATTTGAGAAATAAAAGAGTTTTATATCATTAACTATGGTCAACTAATATAATCGGGTTAAATCCTGTGTGTTAAGTTTTTTCTCCTTCTCCCACAATGTCAGTGGCATGGAAATCCATAAACAATCAAGGAACAAGGCCAAACAATTATTTGATCATTGACTATGTCCCAGACCAGCGCTCGTATATCCTACATCTATGAGATGCATAGGACTAGTTTTGCCTGCTCTATTACAAAGTGAGAACCAATTCCGTTAATACAAATGCCAAACTAGCTTAGTTTGATACGTGTGAATGGACGATGGGTCGTACCAAAACCAAACAGATCTGGTTCTTGTTGATTAATCAAATATACTCATAATTTTTACAGGTATGTCACAATAGTTCTCGTGGAACCAAATCTGCTAGGAAATTCATTGGGAACTGACCATGTGTGATTAACTACAGGCTTTGCAATTACATGAACAAATTTCTGGTATTTCCATGGTTCCAAGACAGTGTGAAAAGGCTCTTCCTTCATTTCCCTCGCTGAATATGACAAAACAGTGCCCCAGTAGTATACAATCTGAGTGTGGTCTCTTCTGAGAAATAAAAGTTACGAGAATGGTGCAGCTGAATTTGGGTGGTTAAAACAGTTGGACATGTTGGTGAAGTGGGGAATAAATAGGAAAGGAAGGAAAAGGAAAGAATCATACATTATGGTAATCTCAAGGAATCTTGCCGCCTCAAGGGGATACCCTCTTGTCCAAAACCATTCTCCTCGTCACCGTGCTTGGGAAGTCGCACAGGCAGCATGGCAGGACCTGCATTTGATTCCATTAAAACATGCTTTGAGAAATTGGTCACCCTATGACAATGCCAGCTTAAATACCACAAGAAAAGCCGCAGAACATACCATCAACCATGTCTTTGGTTTTGTGAAGAAGAAAAGTCCCAGAAAGAATTGTCACAAATCCACACATTTCTGTTACAATTTGTGTTGGATTTTGCCTATCCCAGTCCTGTTCACTCAAACACAACGAGAAGAATAAGATATAATGAATACCATGAAAATAAATAAATATGGATGCTCAAAAAGCTTCACATTGTCCTAAAGCATTAGAACAAATTGCCTTCAAAGATTCAACCACACAAGACCTCAAAATGTTATTAGATGGCCTAATAGTTGGATATGCCTAACTTCATGCATGTCCATGTTTATAGTGTTCAAAAGGACTGATTGAATAAAATCATATTTGATCACCCCCTAGATTGGGCTGAACAGAGAAACTATATAATGAAACAACCAGGGCTTTAGCAAACTTGATGTTTCACCGAGTTCAGTTCCAGCACAATTTATAGTTATTATTCACAAAGCAAAACTGAAAACTAAAATGTCTAAGATGAGGTGAAGTTATTACCTTGAACATAATTACACTGGCTAAAATGGTCAAAGAGGTAAACATGACATAGTATATAGGAGAGACAACTGCTGTATTGAATGTGTCCAGGGCCTGCATTGAAGATTCATCAAAGAGAGCGTGAGGGACAGATAAAATAATGACTAAAAGCACGAAACAAAAAAGTTCACTTTTGCCTTTCCTTCGGAGGGTGGATCCTTAGATACGTACAAACATGGTTGAACTTCATCAAATAAGCCAAGCTTAAACCTTACTGAGCTCTGTTCAAGTTGATCCCAACCCAGTTAAATATGGGAATTTAAGCCTAAAAGTAAATTCTCCTGTACTAATAAAGGTCTCCTCCTCGTATTGTTTCTCTGCTTTTCCAACTTGTTCATTTTCCTTTCTTTTTCTTTTTTGGTTCCAACTTATTGTACATCGCGCTTTTTATGATTTGACTTTAATATTGCACAAAATAACAACCAATTTGCCGCTTTTTCCTATGATTTTTTAAATATAAAATGTTAATTTCAGAAAACGGCAGAAGTTTGAGTCTTCAGTCCACGTTCTGTCCTAATAGTAGATTCCAAATCCAAGGTATCTGTGAGATGAGCCTAAGCTGTCTTATCTGTAGATCCTGGGCAACAATACACTCCCAGGCCAGATGAAGTTAGCCCTAAGCTTTACTTAAGAATAATGTCGACTGTGTCATGAAATCAGATAGGGTTTCTATAATATGTTCATTATATAGAACGGAGATTATAATTCCCTTTACAAAACAGAAGCAGCTTTGCATTCTCCTAATTGTTTATTTTCACTTCTACGATGAACCTGAGTTAAATGTATGCTTAATCATGCCGCATCTTCCGACAGGAGACTACGTTGCAAGAGCAAGTCTAGGCTGGCATATCTTAGCAACATATGCACAAACCTTTTTCACTGATTAGTAGCAAGATATGCACAAATTTTATCACGCAAACTGCAGATATATTGGAGAAACTTAGAGCACAAATTCATTAAGCAGATTGCAGTTATGTGGGAAGAACATAGGAAGGAAATAAGGAGATAAGGGAGGAGTTAATCACCTTATTTAAATAATTCATTTGGGTAAGAATGCACACAATGACAATCAAAGTAAAAGCCCAAGTCTGTGGATATATTAGCTGATTTGTTCCTGATAATGTCAGCTTCAAAGCAATTCCAAGTGCTTTGACACTCATAACCTGTTACAGTAAAGCGGAAATCTCAATAAGAAAAATACATGTGAGAAATTGGAGAAACGCAAATACACAATTATTTGGAAGAACCAAATCAGATATGAACAGTTACATACCGATAAAGAACCCATTAGTGAACACACTCCGATATAAAACATAATGTGTGTCTGCCCATACTGTGGAAGATAGTGGAATATAAGAATTAGGACAGTTATTATCACCACCACTGCGTAGAGGAGAAAAGCTGCAGGAGAGTTGAAAAGATGTTGAGCTCGAGAGATCAGGTAGAAAAAGGAGAAACAAGAAACAACAACAATATGAACCAAGAAACTACCTGGTTCAGTAGCAAGATCCCACACTTCCGTCACAGATAGAATCTCACGTTCTTGTGGAGCATGCAACACTATCGTGGTGGACCCAACAACACATAAAGCACAACCTAAAATTCCAAATGTGTGTAGCTTCTCTCTCAAAATAATGTGTGCGAGCACAGCACTGTGGTTCAAATACAAATTAATCATTAATCAACTCATAAGTTAGATCTGGATGAGTTACAACGTATACTATACCTGATTATAATACTGAGTGCACCAAGAGGAGTGACTAAAATAGCAGGGGCAAATGCATAAGCTGCAAAATTAGCTACCTCCCCAACAATCACTGTTGCAATAGCAGCAAGCAGTCAGAGTTCTATCTTCAAGAATCAGACCCCAGCAAAATAATCAAATCCAGACACACTTGCCAGAAAACAAAATAATCAGATCCAAATACAATGAAAAAGAGAAAGAAATGGTTGAACAATTAAAATAGGAAGAATATTTGCAAAGCCAGTTTGGAGACAGTATACATCCTTTCTCCACGAAATGTCTCAAGAAATAAAGTCAAACACAGTAGTTTATCTTCAGTCTCAAACCTGTATAGATACTTCGCTATAAGTACAGGTCTAGAATTTTCACAGATCCTGCATAAAAGACATACTCTCCAAAAATAAGTACTAACAGCATCTTCATTCGGAACCCAATTCTCCTTTTAACTACTATTATACCAAATAATGGCAACTTCACCATTTATTTTTAACAGAAACTTTACCTTTAACGGTTCTATGTTTGTAGTAAGAGAACACAAGAGAAATGGTAGGATAAGAACACCAAGGGCCACCAGATTTTGGTCAAATAAACTTCAATTCATGTCAACGAAACCATTAATATCTGGAAAAGCAGTTAAATTCCAAGTCCATGCCAATCTTGTCAACATTAACAGAAAAGACAATCATGCGGTATCAACATGATGGTTGGGGAAGGAAGAATTTTCATCAGTTTAATGGAGAAGAAGGAATCAACAGAATTTTTTTGATCAAGTAAGTAGATGCATTAAATGGCATCAAAAAGATGCAAGAGCTTTAAGATTACAAAAGATATTTGATTAGCTCCAGTACAGTTAGTCAGTTACCCTATTGATCAATGTTATCTACAAGGTCAGTCAGATGGGTTGCTTTAATGCCTCATCTGGCGACAGCCTTTCTCCAACGTTTCCCCTACAGGCCGTGCCGCCCTTCTGCCAAGTGCCACCTCACTGTCCTTCTTCTTATTCTCTGCAGGGAGCCTTCCATCCAAAAGTAATATCGTCATTCCCCCTCTCATCACTTCTTATTCGGAAAGGAAGAAAACATGGAGCAGACTGGAACAGGATAATTCCACCCTGATCATCCGAGAAGGAAGAATATTTATAATAAGCAAATTGAAGGTCTTAGACAGGACATCTTATGATCGATCTTGCTAAACTCTTAACAGATTAACTTCCTGCCCTCCCACCATAATTTCATCAAGAAAAAGTTACAACCAGGATATAAGAAAGATGAGGATCCCCCTCTGGCTTGAACAAGTAAAGCAATTCAGAAGATGAGCATTAAGGAGGAGCTTGTTAGAGACAGGCTGGTTGGTGGACTTAAATAGTTAGCACCAAATGATGTTTTCATGAAATTATTCTTTCTAAACCTAAAACTTTGTAGCATGAATACCAGATAACTCAGAGAGCGGACATATACATAACAAGATACAGTTTCAGATTTAGACAGCTGCATGTCATTCAAAGAAAGAGACTTTATAGTTTACCTTAATGCTCGATATAATGTTCAATAAATTATCTTTTTTTAAGTTCTTGTTTTTTTTCTTTGATGAAGCTGATATATATTTTCCAATTTTATTTTATTTATTAGGGAAAAGAAGAAGAGCCAAAAACAAATAGAACCAAAAGCTTCTTACAAGGGGAGAGGCTTAATCACATCATGCATATTACAAGAACATGCAGGATGATCTAATGGAGCAAGAAATAGTTATATTTTAATCAAATAACGCATAAAACTTGTTCTTTTTCATAGAGCATGTACATTAACAGTGAAAACTATGCAACATACTGCATATAAGCCAGAAAAAAAAGAGGGGGGGGTTGTTCGAATTTCTTTAATTTAACAGGGGGTAAAAAAGTGAAGCCAATAACTGTATTGTAGTATATAACTCACTTGTTATCATGCCGACCCACCAAAGAGGCTCATATAGGTATGAATATCCTCCAACTCCTGCAAAATAAATTATGTTAAGTCATAGAAAAAGTGTATTACCAAACGTTGACTTAAAAGAAAAGCATTATAAACCATGTAGGAGATGAAAAGACACTTGGTAAAGTATAAGAATCCTAAAAGCTAATGTGAATGTAGATGAAAGATCAAATATATCATGTGTCAAAATTTTCTAACTATAAGTTCCCAGATTGAGCATTGGGCATGCTGCCCTGAAGTGGTTGATTAGTTGCTCTATGTAATGAACTACTCCCTCTGTCCCAATTTGTGTGGCACCATTTGATTAAGTATGGAGTTTAAAAAAGAAAGGAAGACTTTTGAAATTTGTGGTCTAAAACAAGCCTTAAATATTTGTGTGGCTACAAATCATTTCATTAAAGGTAAAAGGAGTTCTAATGTTCAACTGTCTCTAAATACAGAAATGTCACATTCTTTTTGGGACAAACTAAAAATCAAAGTGCCCCATAAATTGGGACGGTGGGAGTACCTTCCAAACAAATGTTTAAGGTTAAAATTTTGGAAATCAAGCAACTATAGTACTTTGGAACAACAAATGCAAATAGGGTTGGCAATCATTTATAGATGGATTTGTTGGTTGACTATTTGAGGCTACACTACATTTACCAATCCACAACACGCCAATTTCAAGTCCAAATACCACTTGAAACAGCAATAATTATTCTAACATTTCATATTCAATGGATTCAACCAAGTCCAAATAGCATCGAAAGGACAATGAGTATCATGGCCAAGTAATATCAAGAGCAGGGACAGTTAACCGAAGAGGTCAACATCATCTCCACATTCAAGTTGGAAAAGGCTATTATTAAGAAGAAGTCCTCAATTATTCACTAAAGCAAAGAAATTCACAAGTACACGCAAACTAAATCAATTATATATGAATCTTCTATATCTATTTCAAAATTGAAAAGGGAGTGTAAATGTTAGTACCAGCTCTGACACCAGAAGCACCAGCTTTCTTTAACCCCTTTTTCTTAACAATGAAGCTAGCACCGATGAATACGCTTGATGACAAAGCAAGAACCAACCCCTTGATGTTATCGGATGACATGCCCCTGTACACATCTTTCCAGCTTTGTGTATCCATCAAAAAATTTCCTAAACCCAATTCGTCACTCTTTCATATGTACACAAGTTCTAACATACACTTAATAAATACTCAATCTCAGCTAAAAGCTGCTGCTCAACTGGGAAATTGAATCAAGAATTTTAGTGGGATTGAAGATCTGGGTAAAGAGCGAAGTAGATAGGCAGTAGGTGTGAAGGGTGTTTTCTTAATAGATCGGGGGTGAGAAGAAAGAAGAAAGAAGAAAGAGGAGTGGGATATAGGAGAAAATGGTTTTACCAAAATTGTGACACACCTATGACTCCGGTTGATGAAGAGTACAACACTCTTTCCTCTAAATATCAGGGGGGGCTGTTCTTTTTGTTATCTGCTTTCTTTTATCTTTTTCTTTTTCGATTTTTCGTAAGTAATCAAAACTGCTTTTCTTTGCGTGGTTAATAAGGGAGCTTAGAAAATCTGATAGTAACAGTAGTAAACTCGTGACGTGACCCTATAATTTGTATATTGACCTTTTAGTAAGTACCGCAATCTGACAGAATATTAATATATTATTTTTTAATAAATATTGATCGTTATTTTATTTTTTAATACAGTGTGTAGAAATATAACAAAATCTATATAAAATCAAAGGATACACATCTTACAATAATCAAATAAATTATTTATTCCTTATTCATTCTTTATTAATTAGCAAGTACTATACATTTACTATTATGTATTAACTTGTTAATTGGCTTAATATTTTGATAATATTTTTCTTTTACTATAACATTGATATATGTTTTCTTACTCTTGGAATAATTTTATTTTTCTTAAACTTGTGTTACACTATTCAAAATTCTTCAATTGTCTAAATTTACTAATAATTTTCATGAAGGTGAAAGAGAACCGACTTTATGTTCCTAAAGGAGGAGATCTTCGAAGGACTCTTCCGATGGTGCCATGATACTTTGTAGGCCGGCCACCCAGGGGAAGAACGCACCAGGGCATTGTTGCGTCGTGATTATTATTGGCCTCAAATGGCAGATGATGTTGCTCAGTATGCGAAAACTTGCCCAGTATACCAGAAAGACAAGTCTGACCGCTTGACACAAGCGGGACTTTTGGAGCCATTGCCTGTTCCAAAGAGACCTTGGGAAAAGCGTGTCATTGGATTTCATCACCAGATTGCCTAAAGTCGGAGATCTTACAACTATCTTGTTTGTGGTAGATCAGTTTTCAAAATACGCTATATTTATAGCAGACCCAAAATATATATCAACAGAAGATACAACTCAATTCTTCTTCTCTCATATTGTCAAATATCGGGGCCTTTCTAAAGACATCGTTGGTGATTGCGACTCTCGCTTCATTAGCAACTTTTGGACTCAACTCTTTAAGTGCCTCGGGTTCAAGTTGAGCCACAATTCAAGTTTTCATCCGCAATCTAATGGCCAGACGGAGCGGTTCAATGGCATGCTAGAGGAATACCTCCGTCGTTTTGTTACCGGACCGCAGAAGAATTAGGTGAAGCTTCTGGATGCTGCTCAATTGTGTTTCAATTCACAAAAAAGCTCTAGCACAAACAAAAGTGCTTTTCAAATTGTTACCGGACAGCAGCCGCTATTCCACAACATGTCAAAATCTCCTCGAGTCGCTAGCTTCTCGAAAGAGTGGCAGTAAAATTTGGAGACAGTGCAAAGCTATCTTGTGAAAGCCCAAAAGCGGATGAAAAGGCATGCTAATCAAAATCGTTACTTTGTTGAATACCAAGTGGGAGATAAAGTGATGGTGAAAATTCCAAAGCGATACTTGTTTACAGGAGTCTATGACCCTCGCCTATTGCAAAAATACATTAGACCATTGTCCATTGAGAAGCGCATTGGGAAAGTTGCATAACGGTGGATACTCCAACCTGATGGAAGATTCATCCAGTCTTCCATGTCAGCCTTCTGAAATATTTTCGGGTTGACATGGAAGATCCTTTGCGGAGCCAACTCGTAATACCCAGTATTCGAGGCCCCAATTCAACCGAAAAAAGGCGTGCATAAGCTATTCTCAATGATCGAGTGATTCACTCTTCAAGGAAAGATCACCAAGAGTTCTTGGTGAAATGGCAAGGCTATGATACAGAGGAGAATATTTGAGAGAGGGGAACAAACCTCAAAGCCTACAAGAGCTTGATTGATGATTATCTTGAAAGTAAGACTTCGAGAATGTCGCCAACTCAGGTGGGGGAGAATGCCATGGGGCGGCTTTCTAGCCATGCCTTATAACCCCTTGAACATGCCCCATGGCGTCCTGGCAAGCCTCCCAACGCCTAGCGCCATGGATGGCCCCGTGGTCTTGGATGCTCCAAATGATAAGTGTGTATGTGCCTTTGTCGCCCCACCAATAGCCCTCACCAGCGCCCAACTGCAGGCAGATGCCAACAACGCCCCTCAGTAGGTTGCGCCCCAGCGCGCACCCGTTGTCAGCGCAATTGACCCATGCCCTACGGCCAGCACCGCGCGTGCAGACCCTGATGCTAAAGACAATGTTGCTGCCAACAAACTTGTTTTTACCTTGTAGGAATCTAAGTCCCCTTTGTTATAAATATAGAGTAGTTTTACTTCTTGTATTTTCATTATGATTCTCTAGCTTATTTATATCATGTCCTGTAACTTTGATTTATTTTTTTTAAGCATTATTAGGGTGATCAAGTAGTCAAACTTTCAAGTAAGCAAATAATTCTTTGTACTAGTGTCTCTCCCCCTCGACACCGTGTTGCCTTTCTGTAATAGCTTTCATTATTGCAATCAAACTTTCTTTCATTCTTATTCTCTTTTCTGTTCTCTCAATTTCTCTTGACATCGGTTTTTCTGTACGGCATTGACAGTCTCATCTAGCATACGAAGGGGACCCCAGTTGACAGATAGTAGCCGCACGGACATCAGTTGCTTAGCCATACGTTGCCCTTCCAAGACATCTCAGTAAGGTGCCGCGTAACAGAGTTGATGTTTTTGTCCTTAGTACTATAGGGTCATTGCTTCTCTCGGATGTGGTATAGAATTGTAAAATAGATCCGGTCTGTGCTGATATTTCCATTGTCTTGTGTCGTGATATTGTTACCATTATTATCTCATTGGATTGGTGATGCTATTTTCGTGTTGTCCAACCGTTCTTAGTGTTCCTTTGATATTGACAGACCTGTTTCCAGTATAAGCCCTTATTGTTGGTCTTGTATATTTTGGCGCAACATATGTATTACATCTCATTCGGGAACTCCTTGTTCTTGGCTTTTCTATAGTATTACTCTCTCGTCTCGCAAGTTCATGGGTATATGTAATGTCAAGAAAATATTAGATGTCTAATGTGTCATGACCCAAAGTCCACCATAAGTCGTGATGGCGTCCAACACTACTGTAAAGCAAGCCAACGATGAAATCAATATGCTAATAGATAATCTAAAATACCCCTCTAAATAAATAGCTGAAATAGTTCATTTTCACAGAAAATACTATTGTTTTTATTTTAAATTTTCGGGCGTGGTCAAAATATAAACCAGGATATCATAACAGATTACAACCAAGAATAGAATCTAAATCCCCAAAACTCGATGTCACAAGTGCATGAGCATCTACTAGGAAGTATGATACTAATACAATATTTGTCTGGAATATAAAATAGACAGGATATAGTAAATGAATAAGAGGGGACCCCGTGTACAGCGGATCGTAACATGGAATGCAACTCAAAATCTCATCAACAGTTATGCCTATGCGCCAAGATGACTACCCAAATGTACTTGTCTCACTACCTGCACAATTAGTGCAGAATTATAGTATGAGTACGTAAATAAACACTACCCAGTAAGTATCAAGCCTAACCTCGAAGAAGTAGTGATGACGGGTCGACATCAACACTTATTAGTGGTCCAATAAATTAAGTACAATAAAAGTAAACATGTATGAAGCATAGAAAGTAAAAGCAGTGAATCAGATGTATGTGTATAACATGATCCTCGACAGAAGAGAAAATACTAAGTCCTCAAAATCGGATACTACCTCGCATGGGCTAGAGAAGGATCAATATAGAATTAAATATCACATCTCAAGTCAGAAGGACTCGTAGGTACCTGACTCCTTATCGAATATCACACACGATTATGCCGAAGTGAACATCCCGATCCCATAAGAATGGTGGTACAACATCCTGCCGTAGCATACGGCCCGATCCCATAAGAATATGTTACATCGTACCGCCGAGACGAATGATTAGATCTCATAAGAATATGTTACATAAACCGTCGAGGCGAACAACCCGATCCCATAAGAATATGTTACATCATAACGCCGAGGTGAACGATCTGATCCCATAAGAATATGAAACTTTGACGGGTCATGGCCTCACTCACGAATATACATATGAGTTATGAAATTTAAGAAAACGTTCAAACGAATACGCATAACGCAGAAGAAATCCATAAAGTAAAATTTTCATTACTAATCAAGTAGCTCGTCAAGTATCTAAAATAACAAGTCCAATGCTTTACGCAAGTCTAGTCTCAGGCTAAAATATAAATTAAGGCATTTAAACAGGCAGTGATAACTCAACTAAAATAGTAAAATCATAGTGTGAGTCTAAGTCTACCCGGACATAATCAAGAATCTAGCATACGCACGTACATTCATCACCTCATACATGTGAAGCCCCCATAACACGTAGCACATAAGGAATATAGCATCCTACGAGGTAAATTTTTCCTTACAAGGTTAGACAAGAGACTTACCTCGCTCTGAAATCTGATAACCAGCTCCAACCCCTCTCTAACACCTCCAACCATTGTCAAACGATCCAAAAGTAGTCAAAGAACAAGCAAACCAATCAAAATATGCTCGAAGACTCGAAATTTAACAATTAGAAGAAATTTTCAACTCCACACAAAAAGTCAACAAAGTCAACCCATGGGCCTACGCGCCCGGATTCCAAATATTCTCGAAGATAAATATTACCCATAGCACCACAAACTCAAATATATAATTTATTCCCAATTTCATGACCAATTTCATGGTCAAAACTCAAAATACCATTTCTTGTTTTTTTCTTCAAGAATTCCACAATTTCTACCAATTTACATATTTAAGTCCATACATAATCCATGTATTTAACGCACAACAAGTGGGAATCATTTATCTTATGATAGATGATGAAAATGGCTCCTCCAAATCGCCCAAATTCGCCTCGATCTCTTATCTTATGATAGCAAGAGATAAATGAGTTGACATGAGCAAATTCTCGATTTGCAAACATATATTTTGCCCAGGTCTTTCCTCTTGGCGATCGCGGAAACACCCTCGTGATCACAAAGGTCAAACAGCCTCACCCGGGAAATCCTTCTACGCG